TTTTTTTTTTTTTTTTTTTTTTTTAGAAAATGACCTACCGTTTGGCTAGATAAGACCCTTATTCCTCGACTGGGATTGTGTAGAGCCCTTTAAGCTGCATTGAAACTGCAATTTGGACCTTCGACCCATTGGGTCCCATTGAAGTCCACAATATGGAGAAAAATCCTGGGATATTTTCCTCAAAAACCTTAATTTCTTTCTGACTGAAGAAAGACATGAGCATCTTGGATGACATGGGGGTAAGTAAATTATTCTGGAAGTGAACTAATCCTTTAATCCTAACCCATTTCATCACACATGACTCTCTCTCCCAGGTGTCTCCTCCCAAGATATATCCAGTCCAGGCAGGGGAAGGTCCGGTCGGAGTCGAGGACGACCCAAAGGCTCTGGAGGAGCAGGGAAGTTATCTTCCATGAGGAAGGGAAGAGGACGGAAGTCCACCGCAGGCAGTGCTGCAGCAATGGCAGGGGCGATGGCAGGGGCGGCAGCGGCATCTGCAGCTGCGTATGCCGCATACGGCTACAGTGTGTCCAAAGGTAACAGATTCGACATTGACTGGCAGAACTCCTGGTGAAAAGGTTCATCCATTGTTAATTAACCCTCTTCCAGGTATTCCAGCAACTGGCTCCTTACAACCGGCTCTCATTCGGTCTTCAACCACACCTGCCTTTGTTCCAGCTGGCACCTCCTCCCCCCAGGCTAAAGGAAGTGTTGTGGCCACCAACTCACAGACTTTAGCACACGGCAGTTCACAAAGCCAACACAACCCCACTAAGAGAAGCAAAGGACCCAGCAATCACAGTGGGCGGTAGCAGCTTCTGAACATTCGCTTTTTGATTATAGCATGGCCAGTGCATTTTCAGTCCCAGGTTGGCAGTTCTCATGCTTACGATGTTGAGCCGTTATCACACCACAAGCCCTACTGTCACTGTGAAACCCGACCTGATGCCCACCCCAATTTAGCATCCATTTCGGGGGCTGGTGAGCAGGAACAGGTTGCGCACTTTCCTAAAAGCAAAAACAAGTCACTTTTCCATTGAGAATTTGATCTACTGAATATGAAATTTAACTAATTATTCCTTCGTACAGAACATAGCCATTGTAAAGGCTGACAAAAGAGTTTATTCCAGTGACATCTCTTTTTTGTTTTCTGATAACCAAGTAAGCAAAGGGGAACAAGGCCAAATGAAAGATCAAAGTTTTCTTTATCTTCTGGCACTGATCGTGAGATGTTCAGCATCATTGTGAGCAGAGATGAGTTGAAATGGGGACGGGGGAGGAATGTTGGTTATCGAACACCCTCTCGAACAACGTCTACCTTGAACACATAGGAACAGAAAAGACTGCTTTTGTAAAATCGCTCTTATTTTTGTAGGACAGACTTGTTGACATTTGTTCAATTAAAATACCGAATGGCCTTCTTTCTGTTTATTTGCTGCAAATTCAAAGATTTTGGCTTAAATACTAATATATATTTTCTCTTGGGAAGAATACAAGAAATCAATGTTTTTTGTAGTAAATGCAATGAAAAAATGTCTGAAGTGAGTGCTGCTTGAAAATCACGTCACTGCTTAAATTTTGACTTAAAATACTTGGATGTGAAATGTAACATAGCTTAAATTAAAACTTGGTCATTTATGATCTGTGCTAGTTGTAAATTGTATCAAATCAGTTTTTTTTAAATAATTAAAAGTCCATAATTTTGTTGTATCTGTGACATTTGGCTATGGTTTTGAGGAAGGCCATTTCTGGGTTTATTTTGTCTTTAAATGTGATGATAAATGTTCTATGTAAATACTTCAAGGGTATCATCCCTTACAAAGTTCTCCATTTTCCCGCAGTTGCTTGTCTATTTTTATAGGTCAGTGTAAATACCTGAAGAGAAAAACCCAAATGGTTCTTTTACTAACTTGGAGAAAAAAACTAAATAAACATTGATTTGAAATTTTCACATATAATGTAGTTTTTGTGTATGCATTCTGTTACCAACTTTCTGGCTGTTTTTAAAATGCAAGTCTACTCGAGTTAAATCTTGTCACCTTCGCCATTTTGTTCTCTCAAGTTCAAACATCTTTCTTACATGTATTCAACACAGATAACGACTTCATTTCACACCAAACACACTTGACAATCAGGTTACAGGTTCTCTGAAGGTTTTAATGTGCAAAAGAAAAACCATTGTAATGGTTTAACAGTATTCTGCTTCAGTGCAAATTAAAATGGAAGTGTATAGAGGTTTCATGCCCACATATTCAAAACAAAAATGCGAACAGCTTTAGAACTGGACAAACTTCGGCAATACATTGTCACACAAGCATGCATTTGTACTACAGCATCATATACTTGGGTCAAGAGCACAAAACAATGAGAACTGACAGTATGCATGATGTCACACTATAGAACAACAACAGACAGCCTAAAACACCATGTTCCCTTAATACAGTATCTTTACTGTAGTACAGTAAGTTTTAATAGCTTGGTATAGGGAGAATTACATATTTAAAAAGCCACTAAATCACAATCACACCTCAAGGATGGCAACATTAACTTAATGCTAGGACATTAATAGTGTTTGGACTAAATGTTGACCTATTTAATGTTTTACAGAAGATACAGGTGTCTAGCCTGCTAACAATATGGGTCTCATGGTGGTGTGAACAGCTGCCTCAATGGAGAACAGGTGAGGGTCGTCCACATCAGGGCAGCTGACTCTCATGAACTCCGCCAGGCGAAGCAGGTACTCAATGTTGTGGCCCGACTTCCCCTTGCACACACCGATCTGAGCAGCAATTTCCTCTGTGCTGGCAGGCCCCAGGTAAATAGGGTTGTCAGGCGTGGCGATGTAAACCAGAGCCTGGACAGGTGACTGGTTCGTGCCCCGCGGGAAGAACTCTACGACCCGGGTCAGGTAGCCGCCTCTTACCGCCTCCCTTACGTTCAGATATTTGAGAGATTCCTCGACCTGAGAGCCAGTCACTTCGAAGGCAACACCCCAGGTGCATGCCTGTGTATCAAAACACAAGGTTAGTCACATATAGCGAGGGGAACGAGTATTTAAAAGAGACAGTTCACTCAAAAATAATAATTGTAATTTGCTGACTCTCATGTTGTTCCAAACACTAATGACTTTCTTCCAGCAGAAATAAAAATGTTAGGCAGAATGACAGCCTCAGTCAGTTTGCTTTCATTGCATCTATTTGTTTCTATACAAGTAAATGGAGCCTGGCTGTCATTCAGCTTAACATCTTTCGTGTTTAGCGGAAATCAGTCAGTCAGTACAGGTTTGGAACAACACAAGAAAATAAATTTATCAAAAACTTATAACGCCCACAAAATGAGGTATTTCTAGGTTGTCTATTCATAGCGTTGTTCCTCTAAAAGGGGAAGTTCCACTTACGTCATCCTCCTCGATGAGCGTCACCACTCTTCCGGGCTGTCATGGAAATACGCAAGAGTCAATGAGTTTCGATAGAGGAGCTCTTCAGGTATTTAGTTATACGGTTTTAAGAAAACTAAAAATTTGTAGAAATAAAGAAACTCACCATCTCATCATCTCCACGATGAAAATTGTCCCCGTGCCAGAAGCGTCTCTTGTACCCCTTAATATAACCGATCTTGCTCCTCTTGTACTTGAAGTCTGGTTTCCAAACCAACGAGCCGTAGCCAAAGATCCACAGACTGGATTTTCCAGCGACGATGTCTTGAGGTTTCATCTTTACAGGATGGTGTGAGGATAGAAAGAGTAGTAGTTTACGCTTTGATGTAACAGCTTCTTCGCGCTAACTGAATGGGCCCACAGGCTAACTGGCTAGCGTTAGCTTCCTCCTGTCTAGCAGGAGAGGTATCGGTTGGCTCACGGCTATACCGCGGACGGTATCAGAGCCCAACTGCTTGGCAGTTGTGATGGTGAAGTCCCGCAAATCGCTTTTCTTTGCCTGGTGCATGCCGATGCCGTGCAGTTACCGCATTATTGCCTTAAAACTCCATCTTGGCCTCTTCGGCTCTTTCAACTAGAATAAAACACAAAAGCTGTCACTAACTCACCGGCCAGCCTGCTGTTTACCAACAAACCTCTACCCAGCCAATCCCACGACACTTTAAATCAGAAGAAGTAGCATTTCAACCGTTGCTTTCGCGCGCCCTAGACTGCCATGCTACTTTTCCTCAGCGGATGATGAAAACGTAGGCTGCTTTGAGGTAGACTATATGCGATGGTGTCTACGGGCGTATCTGACCTTGCTGAAAATCCTGGCCAATCACAGCTTAGATAGGGCGGGGCGGCTTATCTTCTATCCAATCAAATCATCTTGCCGTGACTCTATAAGCACATACCTGTCTGATTGGCTCACGAACAAGGAACAAAACAGAGCAGTTGAGAAACGGATCTGGAAAAACGTGAGAGGTTTTTTCATTTCATAGGCGAGCCAGACGTCAGTCACAGAATACTCTCACGCTCATTGGTCAGAGAATCTGTCGCTTAAAGTCTGTTCGGCTGATGCAACTTGAAACAAGCGTTTCAAGCAGCAATACTGGAACAGTACGTACTGAGAGTATTGGATCAGGCCTTCTAAGAATGTTATTTGACACCGAAAACACTGCTGAATGCACATACAAGGTAGCCGATTTGACTTCGTATGAAGTCTTCATTGGAAGATATAATAATTAATATATTACAATAGAACATAATATTTGAGAAAATAATATAACATCCATCTATTTATCCATCGCAGGGATGCTGGAGTGTAACTCAGCATCTCGGAGCCATAATATAATATAATATAATAATAAAGAAATCAAGATGCTGTTTCAAAGCATGTCCACGATTTCCATTTTAAATGTAGACTATAGTCTAGTCAAATATTAAATGCATTTTGCATTGCCACCAGAAATTGTAACATCCTTCAGAAATCTCCATTCAGTTTTATCCTATCATGACTGCCGAGACAGATTAGTTTCTTCCTAAAGATCTTTTAAGCTATGGCATCGGCTTGTATTTTAGATCTCCTTTGTCTGTAATCTCTATCTATGACAATGTGGCACATTTCAGACCTTTCCAATAAGTACACAAACAATTTTTCATACATTTCTAATCTTTCTACAAACCTGTGACATCCAGTGCCACATTCTTGACAGGTTCAACCACATGTGTTTATCTCTATTTTGTTTACATCTCATGCTCTGATTATTTACATATTATGATAAAGTTAAGGTCATCAGTACCATAAATTCGGAAAGTACTCTGAGTACATGTTGTTTGTCCTTAGAACTGCGTCATGTTCTTAGCAAAACAAATATTTATGTACTGACCTGTTGTCTGTCTAGAAGATTCAGAGTCTTGTTAGATTAATGTTTTTTTTTTTTGCGTATTATATATCTGGCCAGCCTGAGAATAACAACATGAAAGCATCATCAAACTGAAGAAATACAGGCAGGGCAGAATTGTGATCTCAGGAGTGTCACAGTTCTTTTGTCAGCTCTGTTTGGGATTTAAGTCTTAGGTTGACAAGTTTTGTCAGGCCAGTTTCTAAGCCATTAGTCTACTGTAGTGACTCATTTAATATTCACTCTGTGGCAATGCGGATGTAACATTTTTTCTGATGTCTAAAGGATAGTTTATTAATAGCTAACCCATGTTATTTTATTTTTGCAAGCCTGTTAGTCATTTTTTTTTTCAGGTAAATGAATCACTGAATTTCAAACAATTAGATCAGCGACAATGTTGTATTTGCTGTTTTTGCTGCTAAAAGTTCATTTTATCTTATAAAAAGTTCTGCCCCTGGCCACCCCTGGACATTTCCTTGTAGTATAGTTTAGGCTCTTCTTTGGTTAAAATAGGATTATCTATAAATAGAGGTATTAGCTGGTATCATAAGATACAAGCACATGTAAGCTCCTTAAAAGTCTGCATAATGCACAAGCCTTTCTCTGCCTATAGCTCAGGCAGACGTGGGAGCTCCAGTGACCAGACCTTTCACGGGACAACCTGTTTACTTTCTCCAGTGCAGTAACCTTAGGCGCGGACACGCTAGGCCCTCGCTGACCTTATATGAATGACAAATGCAGAATGGAAAGAGGGTTGTGTGAATTGCACGTGTTGCACTTGCCATTTGTTTGTGTGTTTCTTTTTAGCCGTTACTAACCAGTTTCTAAAACCATACTTTTTTTTGGCTGTTGATCAAGTTACTGAAAGTTTTATTAGCATAATTGATTAAATGTTTAACTTAATCAATGTAATTATACTATAATTGATATGTAATTTGACAAAGCTCATTATTTTAAAAATGTATGACTTTCAGATCTTCAGGCTGTTTGCTTGGCTCATGTTAGTTTGATGTTATGTTGATGACCAGTTTCAGCTGGAACATACTGCTGTCAAATGTCCAAAAACAAAAAAACAAAAACATTCATGGACCATGTCTTACAGAGAATGGGCTTGCTGGTGGAGACCAAAAAATCTCCACCCAAAATAAACATTACATTCCCATGCCCCATGCACACATATGGTGCACTTAAACATTCTTCCTGCCATACATGATAAAATGCAGGGAACGTTTCAGACATGGTGTATTTCATAAATGTTTTTTTTTTTTAAACTGGTTCACTAATAGATGAGAAAGTTTGATCATTATATATTTATTTTGATCATCAATTTTTATGCAGTTTTAATCTTACTTTTAATTTCTTCTTCTTATTATTATTATTATAATTTGAAGGGATAGTTCAAATGGAAAAATGTTATCATTTACTCACCCTCATGTTCTTTATACCTGTATGACTTTCTTTATTATGTGGAACACAATATTTTTTTAAAATATCTCATTGTATTTAGATATTTTGAAGAACGTTCCAACTATTATTGTCACTTTCATTCACTTTCATAGAATGAAAGTGAATGGGGTCCAAAACAACACTGAATCCCTTTGACTTTAGTTGTATGGACAAAAACAGATCTTCAGAATATCTTCTTTTATTTTAAAACTTTATTTTCTCTTATTTTCCTTTTAAAACAACATGAAGGAGAGTAAATAATGACAGAATTACCATGTTTTGGTGAACTGTCCCATTGGTGTTAGTCTTTTGAGAATTGCTTTAATTTGTACATACGTTTTTGTTACATGGTTAAATATTTTAATATTTCACTAAATTCATCCTATAAAAGAGAACTTCAAGAACAGTGTGATAAACAACAGACAACAGAATGTTGTTGTTATTTTATTTTTTTAAATAATGAAACTTGCAGCTTGTGTTGCTATACAAACCTCATGGGCATTTTAGTGACATCTAATGTTAGTGAAAGGAAATTTCAGATGGAGGGCCTCTGGGTTTGCTGGATTTCTGGCTCATGATAGCTGGGTTTTGGACATCATGTGTTTTAAATTGTACATTTTAGTATTCCATTTGAACGCTATTTTAGGAAGGCATTAATGTGCAATTTCAGGTTCAGAAAAAGTTCATTTGTGTTGTACCCATTTTACTCTTTTGACTGCACGCGGCCAACCGTGTCAAAATGTAATGCATGTTTAGCATCCTCCTATCAAGGATGTTTTCACATTCCACAGCCCAGATTTCAAAATACTCTTGAAATGAAATCAATAGTCTTGATTTGATGCCCCCTCCCCTTTTGTTTGTTATGAGCTCGTTTCCTGAAACTTTTCGGGATCCGTACAAATACAGAGAACGAAGAAAGAAAGAGATGCGTGAGAAAAGCGTTTGGCCAGTGCCGGTATGTTCTGAATTTTTTTAATCAGACAGGAAGCAGGAAATGATGTCACTGGGTCACAAACAGGATGCAGTGATTATAACACAATGAGAATGCCTGGCCATGCGATTTAGACCCGGAGGCCAGAGAGCAGAGCGCGCACACACATACACACATGCAGTTGCGACGGGAGGGGTTCGGGTAACAGGTTGCATTGCAAAAGCTTTAGCGCAAAACTAATTGCTGCGATAACAAGTGTTTAATGCTCCGGCCGCTGACGTAATGCTCTCCGAACCCTTCCGAAATGTGTTTATTCTTCCTACGCGTTCTTTTGACCCAAGCACAGACGCAAAGACAAGAATGCTTAGATGAGACGGATGAACAGGATGTGTGTGTGGAGTGTGTTTGCGTGGCACAGATTTGTTGTCGATTGTTGATTATGTTGCTCTTTGGAATGGAAAGAAACCCGAGCTTGACCTCCTGGAAACCATTTCTGGTTTAGTACTTAGTTAAACTCAAAAACGCATCTCCTGCATGGCCCTCTGCTGCCTTGCATGGGGTCTCATAATATTGACTTTGGCCAGGGTGATGGGAAGGATGAATCTCGGAGCTGAACATCAAATGAAAGTCCAAATTGCCTTATTTTTTATGAACTACTTAACTAGCCGATCAAGCCTTAGCTGACCTTTGCACCCTTTAGGTGATTATGTACAGGCTGTTCGGCTCTGGCAGGCCAATAGGGTCTTTGATTAATTGAAATCTTTTTTAATAAAAACCTTGCTTTTTTTTTCCCTATTCGTTCCATGTTTGGAGTGCATAATGCCGCTGAAACCCATATGTGGGCGCCAAGGCCCCGTGCACAGCTCCGGTCGATTCTTTTGTTGGGGATCGAGATGTCTTCTTTAGTCCCGAAGGCGAGGCTGAGGCCCTCGGAGCTGGAACTCGTTTGTGTCTGTAGATAAGTGTGTGTGTTTTCTTTATGGGTGCTCTGCAGAGCAGCTCCATGATGAGACTGGTGAGAGGGGCGACATATGCCGCTGTTTTTATGGCAGGGCAAGGTTGCACCCTGGGGCATCTGTTTCGGTTTTCTGAGGAGGGGCCGCTCCTCTGTCGCTTGCGCTCTTCGCTTTTGTTTCAGAATTTCCAGCTCAAGGGGCCTGTATCCGAGGCAACGGATTTAAATTTCAAGCCAATTTACAACTGGGGAAGGGGAAGGAGGGGGTTGTGAGTTTTTTTTTTTTTCTCTGCTATTACAAACACAGACTGGTACACGGAGTCCCTTGGGGAACATATCGTTGATATCCTACACTCTGGCTTTTCCCTGCACACACAAATCACGCTTCATGTTAACACAAAGTAAAAGCACATGGGGCGGCTATTTATTGTGCTGAGATGGGGGTGAATGTGCTCGGCTCATTTTTTCGCTTTATAGCGTTTTGTTCTTTTGCTTTGTTTACAGAGGCTGATGTAAAAAAATCCCTGTAAGAGGAAAAAGCGCTTTTGTTGTGCGGTCCAAATCAATAAAAATCTTTTAATGGGGTAAAAATGCTTCTTGCTGTCAATGCCTTAGGGCCCGTGAGTAAAATCCGCATTCGAGCGTGTAAATGTGTTTTGCGGTTCCGGATAACTTCTTTTAGCCAGTATTGATGTTCGTATTACGGTCATCAGGCGAGTGCCAAATGCAAAGGTTAATATACTGGGCGGCACTCTAATAGAGCATGACCTCAGCATAATAAAGCAAATTCAATTAATCCAAACACCTCTATTTATCAAAGTGACATGAAATCCATTTCTTACCTGTACATTCTACTCAATGGTATTTTCTCTTCTAAACACTTTTCGTATTTATGACTTTTGTCCTCTTGGGATACGATGTCCTTGAACTCTTTCGATGAATTGTAGTCCAAGTGGCAGCTCTTGTGTATGTAATTTGATTTGTCAGGTGTGCAGTCCACCTCTAGGCTGACCTGCTTATTAGTGTTCTTCAACTGGGAGGTGGGGATCAAGTTGTCTCTTTGCGATTCCGACATGTTGTTCATTGCCTCGCCTTGAGTCCTTTCTCCAGATGCCTGCCTGTGAATGTGGCGCAGAGCAATGACCACCATGCAGAGCACAACCACGAGCGCCACCAAACCCACGGCTAGAGAAACCGCGGCCCACTGGAAGCGATCTTGGGGTTCCTCTTTGGTGACAGAGTAGTATTCGCAGTGGGGTCCGGTGAAGCCGCTGGGGCAGAAGCAGGCGGGCGGGTTCCCTGGGATGCCCACGCAGGAGCCGCCGTTGAGACAGGGTCTGGACGAACAGGCGTTGGAAGGCCGGTCGCAATTGCGGCCTTCGTATCCCGGGGCGCAGGAGCAAACGTAGTCGTTGATGCGGTCGTAGCATGTGCCGCCGTTAGTGCAGGGGTTGTTTGCGCAGTCGTTGATGTTGATCTCGCAGCGCTGGCCAGTGAAACCCGCTCGACAGCTGCACATGCGAACGCCCCCCAGGACCACACACAAGCCATCTGTGGATCAGTGGGACAGGTGTCAGTGACAAATTTTACATAGATATGCATGCATACACACATCTGGATCTCTTCATCCGCAACATTTCTAAATGTAAAAGTTAGAGGCAGAAAAAATGCATTCTCGTACCATTGGCACACGGCAGAGTCGTGCATTTGTCCACTCTTCTCTCACAGTTCAGACCCGTGTAGCCTCTGGGACAGTCACATGCGTAACTGCGCCCGTTGTCTTTCTCGTGGCATCTGCCACCATGAAAGCACGGGGAGTCTGCGCAGGTGAGCAGACTGTGTTCACAGTGAGTTCCCTCAAAGCCAGGCAGACAGGTGCAGATGTAGCCTTTGTCAAGATCCTATAGGGTGAGAGAGGAAGCAGATGTTTCATAAAGCTATTTATGGACCCATTTGCATTGTTTTATGTTTGTACAGTAATTCTAGATGTTGAGAAAAGGCTTTTCAATGGATGCTTGGATCCATTAATAAGGTCATAGCATGGTCAATGATTAAGCCTTAGGTTTATCCAAACATGGACAGATGATAACATTTAATATTAAAGATTATCTGTCATATTTTAGTGATTTTATTATCATTAAAGTCTATTGTGAAGAGGATTAATTTATTTGCGTTTATTCCAGTCCATATTCACATTACAGTACAAAAACAATAAGCTCGTTAAATGCATGTGGTTTTAATCAAATTAATATACTTAGATTGAGTCAGAATGACTATAAAAACTTGAAGGTTTGGGGCTTTCAATGAAATAATGACTCACCGAGCAAAGACCTCCATTCTTGCATGGGCTGCTGTCACATTCGCGCACCTCAAGCTCGCAGTTGACCCCAGTGTAACCAGGCCGACAGGTGCAGGTGTAACTGCCCTGACCTGTATTCATACATGTGGCTCCGTTCACACATGGCTTGTGATGTGTGCAAAAATTCAAATCTGTTTTGAAAGAAATAATAAAAAATGTCAGTACTAGAAAGGGTCATATTTTTCAGCATCAGTGTGAATCACCTTAAGTTTTTCCATGTTTCAGTCACAGATCTACTTGTTCAGTCTTAAACTAGCAATGAGCTAAAGTGCTGTAAGCTCTATTATTACCATGACACTGAGGTCAATGAAGAGTGAGACATTCGCTGTAACTGTTTAGGGTTTAGTCTTACCTTGGTCACAGAACAGTCCACCCCAGCCCTCTTTACAGTTGCACTGCCATGGTTGCTGACAGGTGCCGTGTTTACAGGCTGGATATTTCCTACACTCTGTGCAAAGTTTACCCTGCCATCCTTCTCTGCACCTGCAATACACAAATATATATAAAAAAAACACTTTAGTTTAAATATGGTTCAGGACAAACAATGTTTTTAAAACTCCACTAAACTAGATATTCACATAGGACATTTTCCCATCAAACTATAGCTGCCAAAACTCTGACAAAAGCTGAATAACAATATGTTGCATTTTAAGGCTTATCCTGAATGCAGGTCAGAAAATTACAACAGAGCAAATACTATAGACTAAAGACACAAAGACCCTTCATACACAGGCCATGTATACTTACACACACTCTCCAGGTTTGGAGCAATTGCCATTCGCCTCACTGCATCCCTCCAGACAGATCGCTGCATTAAAAGAAAAAGCTCTTGTTAGTAAACGGTCATGGGTTTACAACAGTTATGAAGAGTTCAATCATAGTTATTTTGACTTATTAAAGGTGATGTATGTAATTTCCCCCAAGTTAAATAATTTGTCCTCTACCAGCTTGATATGCATTGATAAAAAGTAAGCCGTTCAGATTGATTCTTTAAATAGTGTACCAAAACATGGCTTTGTTTGTTTGAACACCTCATTCGGTCTGAAATAACAATGTTGTCTTAGCCAGGCTTGGGCAGAACTACCTGTTTGCCCAACAAACGACAGTTCTCAGGTAACTTTTCTTTTTGCAATAGTGGCACAAAAAAATCCAACTTCACCTTTAAATGTGAAGGTTCATACTTATTGAAGATGTAATAAATGAATAAGTGTGACTGACTCATTCTTTGCATTAAGCTTTGTTGTAGCTGAACGAAAAACCGAAATGACAGAAACTGGACTAGACATCTATTTCCAAGTTCTGACTCCATTTTCCAATAGGAGCATCCATAATTGCATTGTGACTTTAACTTAATATCAGCTGCTCTTGAATAAACTCAAGTTTAGTAGGCCTACTTGTTCATTATCAGCATAGTGAATGGCTCTTAACCAAATAAATCTGTGTCGCTGCAAGCAGTTGTACAGAACCTGTCTGGCGAGGTCACTGCTTTGGATGTGGGTAATTTACTGTTGCTTGTGTTGAGCCGTCTATGACATTGATTTTGAGCGGGTACCGACCGGCGCTGAACTGCTGGTTAGACCGCAGCAGATGCTCTATCCCAATAACGGACAGCTGCCCCTATTGTTGTTTGTAGTCTGTGCGAACCATATTTGCAGCTGCTACACTGGAGCGCAACAATGGGGACTACAATTTCGTGGCGCGTGACGGATAATAATGGCGCGATTAACTCGGCGCGTGCTTGCCATGACGCTCGTGCAGGATTAAATTACCAAGCACGCGCGTTTAGAGTATACACAAACTGTGTCAGCGGCGCCCTGATCAACACCGTGCATTCTCAGAGAAACTACAGCAGTACCCAGAAAAAGCCGAAAGCAAAACACACAAGACTCAAATGAATACAGTCGGCAAACATACGCTTTCCATCAAACCCATAACCATCTCAGCACGCTGTTTGTATTTACTCCTGCACATTACGATCAAAAGAAGTCAAACCCAATCTTAAAGGACCTTAACGGTACATTTATCTTTTACTTATATATATATATAAATAGTTTTCGTTTCAAAATTGTGTGTTTGACCAAAAAATAAATTATAAATGAATAAAGGCGGGAACAGTATGGCCTGAAGAGGTAACCGTAGCAACAGTACTCTACTTGAGGATCATCATTGGAGAAACATTGACAAAACACTGACCTGTTAATTATTTGATATTAGATATTAAATATTAATTTAAACACTTATTCACACTAAATGTTATTTATTAGTTAATTATAGATTTGCATATCACAATTCGCCTGTATCACAAATGTGTATATATATATGTTTAACAGATTTAAAAGAGAGTTTATTTGTGCTAGAGGCCACAAAACACAATTCTGGTTGCTCCATTTCTAAAATTTCCTATGCAAATTCCTTTTAAAAGGTTGATCCCAGCTGACAGCACCGTTTACATCACTCAGACATGTTCTAATATTTTTGTTCATTGTAAATTAGAGGGATGAGCAAGACACAGAGCTCACACCTAAGCAAAGCCTCACTTTTCAAGACAAGAGTCCAGTGGATTGTGATCTCTGATTGCTTACGTTCTTCGCAGTACTCCCCCTTCCAGCCAGGGAGACAGGATAACTGCCCATCAGGGTTGCAGGTGTAGTGGCCAAAACGGTCGTCCCTGGGCGTGCATTTTTTGGAACAACTGTCGCCGTAGTAATTTTCACTGCAGATGAACCGGTAAGAATACCTTAGCTCCATCTGCTTCCCGCTTTGAACATCCTGAGACCATTCAGCCCCTACTTCCAACTTTCTTTGGATGGCAAAAAAGCTTATCTGCAAGTCAGGGTTGTATGTGTCTGTAGAAAAAGAGGAGGAGATTGTGATTAGGCCATTGCTGAATTATTATTTGATTTCTTGTTTTTTCTTTTTCTCAGGTTAAAAAGCTTAAATGACATAGGCTAGGTAGGTTAGAGCATGGTGTGATAGTTTTCTTTTTTCTTTTTTGAAAGTGTCTTCAAAGGAAAAAATGTAGCCCAACTTTAAGTTCTGGGAAGCTGACACATTTGGAGTAAAACTTCCTCTTCCTTTGAGTTAAGCAAAATATTCCCATGGTATTATCCCATTCTAAAGGGCGGGACAGACAAAGGTGTAAAATACAGGAAAATGCAGTCGGATGGTTTTGGCAAGCGCTGTGTATTCTCACCAAAGCCCACTGCGCTTTCCCACGCCAAAAATAAACCAAAGGAAGTTCAATTGTGTTCAAGCATGAGAATGCAAAGGTGTTCGAAGCAATAGGAAAATGCATTACAAATTTACAAATTTTCAATGAACATGTTTCTTAGGTGCTTGCCAAGGTTTAATGAAGCGTTGTAGACAAAATAATGTAGGCTATGGCTATATAAAAGGTTCTAATGAAAAGAGAAGCTTGTACAATATCGAAGTGTCGCCCTCTAGTGGACAAAATCGAATCTTACCTACAGGTAGATCCGCGTATGGTGAGTGCCAGGCCTCAATAATCAATGAAAATGATCCCTAGGAGGAAAGAGACATTTAGATGTTTGCCTTTTATATCTAAAACAACAGATTACATACATTATTAAAACATGAGAGGATGTAGCCTATAAATAAAAAATAACAGCATTATAAAATCTTTATGAAGCAGAAATAAATTAATAACCGCAATTAAAGTGATCAAAATATTGAATAATGTGGAATGGATCAAAACTGTTACTCTGCACATGTTGAACCTGGCTGCATTACAAACTGTTGCTACCCCAATACTGTAATAAACCGCAAACATGTTTCAGCTCATATACGATGAAAAGGAGTTGCATTTGAGGAACTCACCGGCCAGCCAAAGTTGAACGGCAGTCGAATCGGTGTGCTGAAAGAGCCACCTCCCATGATACTGAACGAGTTTGTCCCCAGCACTGGCGTTATGGCACTTCCAAAGATACAGTCACCTGGAGACACGACCACCTGGTAGTTTTTTAGGCAAACTCGGAAGAAAGTCCTGCATTCAGGCTTGCATGCATTGCCATTTGCGAGCAAGCCTTTGAAATTTCTGAATTCGTGAAGGTCGAGTTCGAAAACACCAGATCCAAATATCTGAAGGGAAAAATTACACGCGTTACAACATTGCACTGCAGACACTGGCTTACCTACAAAAGTGCGCTCGAGAAACAATTGAGAGGAACGGGGTCCTGCTGACTTTCCACAGGACCTGGGATGTTTACCTGCGTCAAAACGGTCGTGAAAATTGCGATGAGAAAGGTGAGCCAAGCTGCCATGCTTTTCGATTCTCCTGGGCAGCCGCGTCACCCACGATTTTATTCCCGAAAGAGCCTATTCCAATGTAAAAGGTTGCAATGAAAACAAACGCCGAAGAGTAAAACGGTATATCCCGCTGTGCGTCCACCCTGCACGGCACTACAGTGTGCAGGAGCACGTCAAATTTCCAGGTTATCCAAAAGGTGAAGGTGAAACTGGGAAATCAGCATCCAGTCTTATTCCTCTTCGTCTCAAGATATCCACGGAGCATGTTTAGTATTCCACAGTGAGCACACCGATGTGTTTAGTGTCAATGGTAATGTCTTGTTTTGGTTCTAAACTTTGTGCGTCAACATCGCGCTGTTGGGTATCCTCGCGCTTCTCGCGTAATTCGTGAATGAAGACTTGTTTCTTGCGTCCCGCAGTATTTATACTGGCTTTGTGTCCGCGCTACTCATTATATAAACTGTCTATCACTAAACGCCGCCCACGTTATATACTCAGTCAGCCCCCCTCTCTCGACAACAATGATATCCACATTTAATACCCACCACTACGCGGATGATGACCAATTGAGCGCGAGTGATTATTAACAAGCCCAGCATCTGTTGGCATATTTAAAGCAGGCACGGTTAAACGCTGATCGTTTCACACCGTGCAATTTTCTCTCATCCAAAAACGGAGGAAACTTCACACAACGTACACACAGCCTGTTACTTCTCGTTTGTCCCCGTTCCAGTCAATTGCGCGGGTAATTATATTACATCATTGAACGCGTGCGCGGTCAGTGTAGGGTCATATACCTTACCTGATGTTCCGGCGTAGAGCCTCTTCATGTTTCTGCCTAAGCGCTATAGTAATCACTATAGTAGGTAATATTTGAATATGTATTTTATCTATTTTAAATACACCTCTAAGCATTTCTTTTAATTTTCACAGTAACAATACAAAGTATTTTATTTTTGTATTTTTATAAAAAGAATCAAAAGCTCACTCCAAGTGATGCCTAATTAAAAATATGCATAATATTTCCTCATTTAATTTGATACATGTGCTGCACGCGTTGTCCTTTCAGCCTAAATACAGCGTGCCATTATTGTTGAGTCGCGTGCCCCTCATTAGAAGCGCGTTTCGAGGGCTTTCATGTTGCTTTCATACGGGCCTCTGGCTGCGATGGGGTGAGATAACAATTCAGCTGTATGATAATGAGGGGTTTAGCCATAACCGCCATAAAACTCTTCGTCTTCTTCTTCTGCAGTTAACAAGAAAGATCATGTAAATCACTCCAGTTTTATTCCGGGTTAATTTGACCCTTTACCAAGTGTCACGATGGGTTATGAATCAGTCATTTTGGATGAGGATAATTGCGTCATTTAGGTGTAAGCCTGTTATTTAATTATCTTTATTTCGAAAATAAATTTATAAATTTAGCTCAAAATTAAACGTACTATGTATGAGCTCAATAAAAGATTAGTAAATATATTAAAACATAATACGCAATCTTTGCATATGCTGAACCTGATAGGCTAATAAATTAATTTCTTAAAATTATTTGGAAAATTAGAGTGGTTTGCAGGCATGCTCTTTGATAAAGCAGTAGGCTACATCGGATTGCATGAGCCTATATGTCTGAAAGGAAAGAGCAATGCAAATTACAGAGACGTTTAAATTGAAAGCATTTCCAGTTTGGTTTCGATATTTTGCCAATGTCCACAGGCGTTTTGATTTTTGATTGGTTGTGCTATTGGACTGTCATGTCGCTTGAGGATTTTCTATTTACCATCTGGAGCTAAATTGAGCGCGCGCGCTGATCGACTGACTGAACCTGTTCATTTTGGAATCTAGCTGGCCTCGTTAGTGTGAATAGAGAGGGATTCGGCGCATCCAAACAGTGCATTAATTGCATTACAATAATGCGAAATTTTCAATAATTACAGCAAGCCCTGTTTTCATTTGCCAGTGCGCTCTGAACGAGCCAACATGAGTATTTGAAGGAAACGCCTGATACATGCACAGGTGGCGAAAGTGCATGAAAGAGGGTTTAATTGCTTTGTGGTTAGCGGTGACATTTGAGCTCTTTCGACAAGGCATTATAGTTTCTCTGGCTATCTTGCCAAATTTCGTAGTAAGCCGAACTGACAGCTTGAATATCCCATTATCAATCACGTATTATGATTAAAGCTTATAAAATAAGGTTTAGTTCAAAATTGTACAAGCTCTATAGTTCATATAGGCCTATTTGAATCATACACAAGCCATACAGCCAGATGTAGTTCATTGATCCTATTTAGGTCTGAAGCTGAGGGAGTATATAAATCATAAAACATATAAATCAGCTCAGCTGCAATACTAGACTCCCATCTCTTCCATCCGCTGTTGTTTAAAATATTATTATAATATTTTTTTGTGACATATTTGTAAATTTTAGATACCTCACGTGTAAACTTTGATCTAAACCTTCATGTTGATAAACTGTTAAACACACATGTGATTCTGTTTATATTAGCCTGTTTTTACTTTTGGTCAATAGGGCATTTGATAGTTAGCCTATAGTAAGAAGGGTTGCCTCACTTCCCATGTTTTATCGGTTAGTGTTTTTTATGAAACATTTATCAAGGGTCTTTTTAAATGGAAATTCTTGTGGATGTTGACACAGACCCTGATATGTGAAACAGTGTTTGTTGATTTGCTATTATCGGTTTCAAATCTTTTTTTCTCCATTCTGGTCTGCTTTTGAACACTTGCTGAGACAGCATATTTATATTTTTTTTCCTGATGATGTATTGAATAGGTTTTGTGAGTCGTATTTACACACCTGCCATGCTGATGATGGCTAGAACAAATTAAACAACAAAATGAAAAAAAAATGCACGTAGAGAGAGAGAGAGAGAGAGAGAGAGAGAGAGCGAGGAAGAGAGAAAGTGATGGAGAGACATACCCTTTGCATCTATACTTGTTTTGTTTATGAACTGAATTGTTAAAAGCACCATTTATAACAAATTAACCATAGCAGAGACATGTTTGTTTTGGCTTATTGTGAGCAATCACTGAGTTTCAGTGGACAAAGCAGTGCATTAGTCCACAACGCCACATGGCATATCATATAATTTGTTTTGCAACTAGTTAAATAGCAATACCACTCTCAGCACACTTCAAATCAGCCTGTTTTCGTCAAATCATTTAACCGGGTTTATAGTCTGATGATGGTATCATATTATTTGCACCCAGGAGGTTGTGTGAAAAGCAGGTTTCTGGTTTGATAGCTGTGGAAAATATTACCCGTCTTATCTCCTCTGGTGCCATATGTCTCAAATTAAACAGACATAATAAATGTCATGGTGCAAGCAACAACTGAGCATTTATAGATGTGTTTCATGCATTCACACTGCTGATGATAGTGCATTGTGCTAAATGTGTAAAATTACCATTCCTTATCTCTTTTCATGGTAGAAGGGAGATAAAAGACAGAACAAGCTTTGAATAACAAATTGTTTTAATGGTTGCTGTGAAACGATTGTGTCTTTGAATAGATTTTTCAAGGAGAAATATCTTTAACAATTTTCAATAATATATAAAGAACAGATAAGATATATCTTATATAAGATAAGAATCACACACACACACACACACACACACACACATATATATATATAACAGTATAGTGACTATACTGACCTTTCCAGTATAGATGTGTAGTATTTACACGAAAAATTATTTTTCGACTTTTTTACTGCTAGTTATGGTGCATTTTACTCCTCAGTTAAATGAATGCCGTTAAATGTGTGTGACGTCATTTGAAATAGCACGAGCTCTCTCTCTCACTCACTCGCGCGCGAGATGGGTAGACCTATACAGGTGCATCTCAATAAATTAGAATGTCGTGGAAAAGTTCATTTATTTCAGTAATTCAACTCAAATTGT